AGGGGGAGCAGAAAGGTTCAAAGCGTGGCCTGCAGTGGGGCCTTGCCAGTGCTGAGCTCCAACTTCTGTCCCTGGCTTGCACCAGATTTTGCAAAATAGAGCGCAAGAAGTCCTGAAGATGACAGCCATAGAATCAGCTGCCAACAGGGAAAGTTTTCTCCAAATCCTATTACTCACATCTTGGCCTCAACCCTGGAGCATTAATCTTTATATCCCCTGCAAGCACTGTCTGTGTTTGTTTGCTGTGTCCCCACCACGGTAACTCTTAATATTCTGGGTGTCCCAAACAAGGACAAAGGCTCTCAATGCCATCTTTCTGTTTAAAACAGAGAATCTCTTTAGATGAAAGCTAGGAGAAAAAATAAAGTGTAATCCCAGACATCATACTTGTCTTGGAAGGACTTTATAATTACTTTTCTAAACTTAGAAAACAGTTTTGCTCTTCTGATAGGATCCACAAAGAGCCAAAGCATATTAATTCCACACAATAAGCGATGCAAAGTAAGTTCTAGTTACACCACGTTGCAGAGGGATAGGAATGGTAGGAACACAAATAAGTGTGAAGGGATGATGTTGATACCTTATTGAATCTAATTTACTAAATTATTATCAATGAGATGGACAGTTAACTGCTAACATGAATTGTCAGCACTATTTGGTAGAAATCTCACCATCACCCTTAACTTGTCAAGCTGTATGACAAACAGAAGGCTTCAAATTTAAAATAAAACTCCTTTCTGATAAAGTTGCCAGGGAGAATAAATAATTAAATGTACTGAGCTGTGGTGCTGCCAGCTGATCCCCTCCCAGTGGGCAAAGCTGCGTCTGAAAGGACATGAAATGATATCACAAAGCTGTGTCTGAAATCTGTCCTTTCAGCCAGGGAAGCAGCTCCTAGGCCAAAGACCTCTCTCCTGCTCCACCACTGGCTGCCTCTGTCCCTGACCTCTTCCAGGACTTCAAATCTTGCTGAAGAAAGGAGCTTTGCACAAAAGGATTTACTGCACAGAGCAGGAGCACAGCACATATGAACATGACATTCATGGTACAAAGCTCTGCCTTGTTTATCTGTTCAGCATCTCAGCATATGACTGAGGTTTCTTAGTTGTGGTAGTTTCTGAGGTCCCCAGGACAAAGGAGGAATGATTGAATCTGACTCAATTTTTTTAGAAGGCTAATTTATTATATTATGATATGATATTGTATTATATTATATTAAAGAATGCTATACTAAACTATACTAAAGGTAGAGAAAGGATACAGACAGAAGGCTTAACAAGAATGATAAAGAAAACTCATGACTGACTCCTCAGAGTCTGACACAGCAGGACAGTGATTGGTTACTAAGTAAAAACAATTCACATGAAACTAATCAAACAACCACCTCTTGGACAATTTCCAGACCACATTCTAAAGCAGCAAAACAGGGAGAAGCAACCAGATATTATTTTCATTCCTCTCCAAGGCCTCTCAGCTTCCCAGGAGAAGAAATCCTGGAGAAGGGATTTTTCAGAAAATATCACGGTGACACTTAGTGTTACCTCAAAATACCAATACCCCTGCAGTAGTGTTCCAAGAAACAGAGTGTATTAGGTATGAAGCAGAGAGAGCCATGAAGATGAAATAAAATTTGGAAGGAGAAAATGAGAAAATGGTTCTGGGCAAAAAAAAAAAAAAAAAAAGCTCATTTGAAATACTGAGAGAATAATGAGGTAATATAGGTAACATAAAATTATTATTCAAAAGGACCATGGAAAAGGCCGGGATACAGGAAGGACCAAGAGTATACAAGAATGAATGAAGATACAAAGAGACAAGAAGGAAAGGCATAGGGAAAAATCGGAGATGGAAGAAATCATTATTTGTTGGGGGTTAGGATTTTTCCTTTTCTTTCTCTCACGGAATTTGTCCCATCTGTGGCTAAGAGACAATAATGACCACTACTTAAGAGAGGCAAAAAGGTAGGGGAAGCATGCAGCTGGCTACTCTCTTACCTCGGAGGTTTTCTCTTTGCAAGGGCAAAGATACCATGAGATTTTGGCTGTGTGGTGAGGGGCTGGGCTGGGCTCCTCTCACTTGGTATTGAAGTAGGCTCAGCCAGTCTGCAGTCACTGCTCAGAGGATTTGCTGCCACGATGGAGCTTTTGTCCTTCCATTCCTTCTCCTGCTGTGAGTGAGCCTTTGCTCGTAAGAGCAGCTGTTGGACTGGGACATTATTATCACCCAATCTGACTGGAAGGGACCCTTACCATCTATTTTGGGTGCATCAGGGGAGAAACCCAGGACCCCAGCCCTCCTCCCCTTCCCGGCTGCGTGCAGCAGCTGTTACAGGAGGAGCCTGGCTGCCGCTGCCCAGTCCCACTGCTTTCTCCACTACACTCTAACCCAGCACCTCCTACCTGCCATGACACCTGCTACAGCTGTGGAGTTTCTGATACATTTCCTTGGCTACTCTGGTGTCTGCGTATCCCTGCTGTCCCAGCCACTGCTCCGCAGTTCCTGCTAATGGGCTTTGGCCCATTTTCACCACCCAGCCCACCCGCCATTATCATGTGAGGGACACACGGCCGAGCTTGCACCACAGCGCCCCCTGCGGGAATCATCGTGCCTGCCCTGCCCAGCCGGGAGCCAACAGCGCCCCTGCTGGCCATGACTGGAACTGCACGGAAGGGGACAGTGCCGCGTCCAAGAGCAGGCTGCAGGTGGGTTCCTGGTTCTATTTGCGTTGCTGCTGTTGTTGTTTGTTTGTTTGTTTGCCTTGCTATAGAGACTAGTAAAGAACTGTTATTCCTTTTCACATATCTTTGCCTGAAAGTCCCTTAATTTCAGAGCTGTAATAATTCAGAGGGAAGGGAGATGATATTTTTTTTCTATTCCAAGGGAGGTTCCCACCTTCCTTGGCAGACACCTGCATTATTATACCTTTTTAAATGACTATTTTGTATAAAACCTGCTTTTACACAGCATCTGACTTAACCATGTATCCAACAGAGAGCCTCAGAGAAGTTCACAGTCCTGGAAATGGAGGACAGAGACAAATTGTATATGCTTCACTCTGACTCATCTTGGAAGCTGCAGCGGATCATTGTTTGGACACACAACGGACAAATTAATTTCTCCAGATGTTCACCATCCACCCTTCCAGAACATTAATGGGCAGGCCAGGGAATGAATGCTTTCAGCAGAAACTTCAATTTCCTCTGCTGATTCAGATGAAGTCAGAGTTTTCGTTTTGCAGAGCACCTGTTCCAAATGCAAGGAGTCCACACCTCAAAGCAGGGAAGGGAGATCATTTTTTTTTTCTATTCCAAGGGAGGTTCCCACCTTCCTTGGCAGACACCTGCATTATTATACCTTTTTAAATGACTATTTTGTATAAAACCTGCTTTTACACAGCATCTGACTTAACCATGTATCCAACAGAGAGCCTCAGAGAAGTTCACAGTCCTGGAAATGGAGGACAGAGACAAATTGTATATGCTTCACTCTGACTCATCTTGGAAGCTGCAGCGGATCATTGTTTGGACACACAACGGACAAATTAATTTCTCCAGATGTTCACCATCCACCCTTCCAGAACATTAATGGGCAGGCCAGGGAATGAATGCTTTCAGCAGAAACTTCAATTTCCTCTGCTGATTCAGATGAAGTCAGAGTTTTCGTTTTGCAGAGCACCTGTTCCAAATGCAAGGAGTCCACACCTCAAAGCAGTGTCCCTCCATGCCACCATCCAACACCTTGTGAAGCCTGAAACCATCCATCCAACAACTGCTGATGAGCTCCTTCAAAGAGAATGAGAATACAGCTTTGACTTTGGACTGTTTCACCATAGAGAAAAAAGCAAACATTTAAATATTTGAGTGGTTTGGAGGGTCAGAACAAGGATAGTACTTCTCTTTAGCCACAGACATAAGACAATTTCTTCAAGATATTTGAACAGGAACTTGTCCATAGTTATGCTTACTCACACAGGAAAAAAACATGTATCAATTTAGGCTACCAAATGTGACAGAATTAGTTGTCTTACTTTTACATATTCCTGTAGAAAAACTTGTGATGATGTTTTTGGGAAGGCTCCAGGTAACAAATGCCTATTTTAATTTGAAGGGGAAAGCTTCTTCCCACCAATTCTCAATGCCAGATTATATAAAAACACAGGTGAGGCACTGCTAAAAACCCAGGAATTCAGCAGTAGCATCCAAGTCCTCCTGAAAAGCATTCCGATAGTTTTGAAAATACTATCTCTAATATTATTGGCAGGCTTCCCTCTCATTCTCATTCATTAGTTCCCTCTGGCAAAAAATAACCTTCTTCTGGAGGATGCAGACTTAATCCTATGAAAAGTAAGTGAAAAAAATACACATTTCCTTACAGGTATGAATCTGTCAGAGGGAACAAAACAGGATTTGGTCTTCCATCATTATGAGAATGTTAAAGAGGCATCTGCTTTTTCCAGCTTGAATAATTTCAGTGAAACAGATGCCCAGGTGGTAGCCAGGAGAACTGGGATTTCTCAGCTTGGCCTACAGCTAATCTAAGATGCGTGTTGTCCTGCAACCAAGTATTTCACCCTGAGAAGAAGAGCAGCACTCTGTCATTTTGCTGGTTTTCCTGCTCGGAGTGGCACCGGCTTTCCTGTGGGATGGACACGTCACTCCACCTGACCTGAGTTTGCTCTCAAAATGCCCTTCCTACAAAGCAACAAAATAAAAAAGCCTGGGAAACCAAAGGTGAAATGGTGGCTTTTCTCTAGTGAAATCCTTGAGGAATTTAGTTACTCCCTTTAAGAGAACAAGGAAGTCACACAAAAAGATCAATATCCAAATGTCATGCACAAAATCCGTGGGAGCCGTTGAATACAGAAGTTTTGTGAAGCACTCGCTTGCATAGGAAAGCCCTACATTTTGTGCCAGCCAGCAGAAGATAAGAAAGACACCCTTGATAGGAAAAATATGGTTAAAAAAATCAGCATGCCATTACAAGTATAAATACACATTATATTGCATGAGTGAAGTGTGTTTTCTTTAATGTACATGCCATTTATTATTAATTCATACACTAAGTGCTAAGGTGTTTTGTAATGCCATTAGGTGGTGCTTTCAGTAAGTAATGGAATAAATAGTTCTTGCACGGTTCTCTTCTGCATTGTGTTCTTGTTTTTCTTAAGTAACAGGAAATTGAAGCAAAATACCACAGGTGCCTCCTTCCGAAGCCCAGTGCCCTAGCACAAAGCTGTGCATCACGTTTCTGAGGCACTCTGGCTCCCCTCAGGTGTGATAAACTGCACTTTGGGCACAATGAGCGAGGAGTTGGTTCTCCGCATGGAGTTGCTCCTCCGAATTGAGTTGTTTCTTCTCATGGAGTTGCGCTTCCTCAGGGAGTTTTGGTGGGACAGCTCACTCTTCTGCAGGGTCTGGATGAGGATGGAGGGCTTCTCATCGAGCTCTCGGGCACTGCAGCGTGGTGCAGCCACTTTGACGGTGTTGCCGAACTTGGAGTAGTCGACAGCGTACACGCCTTCCTCCTCAGTGACAATGGGCACAAAGCGGTGACCCCACAGGATCTCCTCTGCCACGTAGGAGGTTCTCGCCTGTGTCGTGATGCCTGTGGTTTCTACAACCCCCTCCAGTATCACTATGAGCTCCAGGTCCTGGAGCGCCAGGTCAGAAGCAGAGATATCATAAAGAGGACTCCGCTTGTCAATGACATGACAAATGATCAAGGGAGCCACCAGGAAAATGTTGTTGCTTTCAATGGGGTTATCCACAGGGATATCCACCTGGTGAATGGGTATGATTTCTCCTTCAGGGGTCATGGTTTTCTTCACGACCTGGATTCTGACTGAGGCACTGATGATCATGCTCTTCCTCAGGTCCCCGACCCGGAACATGAAGCAGAGCTTGCCATTGCGAACGGCAATGACTGCCTGCCGGCTGAAGATCAGTGTCTCAGCCCGCCGGTGAGCCTGTGCCGTCTTCATGAATATGCAACCCAGCATGACAGCATTGATGATCAGCCCCACAATGTTCTGCAGGATCAGGACTGTGATGGCCAGGGGGCACTCCTCGGTCATCATCCTCCCCCCAAAGCCAATGGTCACCTGGACTTCGATGGAGAAGAGGAAAGCGGAGGTGAAAGACCTGTAGCGGAAGATTGCACCCAGTTAACTCTCAGGACACAGAGCACAGACTGAGAAGCTGTTAACATGTACTTCCAGAAACAAACTTAAGCACCTGTTTGTATACTCTAGTACACATAAGCCTTCTGTTAACACCAGACAAAGCATTGCATGCTTGGTGGCTCAGATTTGTGTGGTTGGCGTAGTGTCTAATGGTAGCAGGGAAGACCTCTGAGCCTGAGCTCCTCAAAGACCATCTGGGTGACCCTGAGCAGCTCAGGGAATCTCTGTCCAGGAGCACGGGCTGCCCACTGGCGTAGTGAACAGCTCTGGAACAGCTGGGCTTTCCACCTTCTCCATTCCATTGAAGCCCTTGGTGGAGAGAGGTGGTTTTGGCAAGCATGGGCAATCAGCTGGAACACTGAGATCTTTCCACCACAGGAAACAGGAAAAACTGCAGCACTTCACTCATGCTACCTGAATCGTGACCCAGAATTTTCTGGTGGGGGAAAAGGGGCTTTCCTAGATTTGTGATGCTTCCCAAATTCTTGCTCACCTTGTGAATGGGCAGGATGAGGCTGCAGAGAGAGGCCAGTGGCCCCCAGGTGCCCCCTGCACACCCTGGGAGCAGGACTGTGTTGTGACCCAGGGCTTGGGTTCACCTCATTGCCAGGGCAAGACCAGCTGGAAAATTTCAACGAAGAAGTGGGATGTAGAAGTGTGGGTTAATTTAAATACCCTAAAATGCTATGATGCTGGACATCAGCAAATGCTGTCCACAAATGTTCCAAAATACATTATTTATAGTAGCCACAAAATCATATCCCCTGTATATATCAGGGTCCTTAACTTCCTTTTATATTTATTTATTCCTTTATTCCTTCCAGATACATCCTTCCAGTGCAATCCAATAAATCTGAAGCATCCCAATGCTTAACAGGGCTATACCAGTGGAAAATATATCCTGCCCATCAAGATGGATCTAAACTATTAGTTGGCTTTGCTTTGCTTTTCAATTAATCTGCTTTAATTTTTTTTCTTTTCTAGCCATATTTTCATTGGGGTATCAAAGACATATTTAAATACCATAGGCAACATCAAGGATAATTTTCTGTGCAATGAGAAAGTCCATCTTCGAGACAATAACACAGTCTCTGCACAGGTATCTTTGAAATAACTTTCTTATTTTGCCTTTTCTATTATTCTTAATCATTAACATATTTCTTTGTATTGAGGGGGTTTATTTTGTATTTCACTCTGAAGAAATCAAGGACGAAGGAGTTACTTAATAAAATCCATGGAATGATTTCTTATAATCATAAATATTCAGTTATATGCAGAACGAAGCTTCTGGATTCAATTTCAGTCAGCTTAATTCAGCTTAAAAATCTGTCCAGAAGTAGTCTGACTTCCCTTAGCAATACCCTTCTTTAAAAAAAAAAGAAAAAAACATCCATCTTTTTAACAGTGGAAGTAAATGAAAGAGCAAGTTTGGAAAGCATTTTAACCATGTGAAATGGGAGACAGAAACTACAAATCACACTGTTCCCAGGTCCTTCCCCTCAGAGCTGTGTAGCAGCTTTCCTTTTTGGATATTTCCTGTCTGTGGCAAAGAGATGTGAGGCTTAGAAATTTCTGCAGTACTTCATAAAATGAAAAGGCTGTGCAAGCTCTAGGCACTGGTTAAAATTTTCAAAGCCAGGTTTTCCTGTAAATAGGTAATCACACCCACCCAAGAAGCTCTCCTGAAATATCTGTGTGCCTAAACCTCAGGGGAGTAGGCTAAAAATTTTTTGTCATGATTTTGGCATTCTAATACTAAAGGTATTTTATATCCAAAACCTCAGCATGCTTAAAGATGTCAACAATCACATCATTACTTCATTACTTTGACCAAAGTGGTAGCCAGATTTCCCTAGGAAAGGAAAAGATTTCTCATGGCTTAGACATGGGCACTGGAGCAGCTGTAGCCTGAACACCGCATGAGGGGTGTGTGTTCTCTGGAATGGGGTAAACCTGAAATTATATTGATTCATTCATTTTGCTTCCTAGCAGACATCCTGGAAGAGTCACAGGCAGCTATGGAGAAGGAACAGGGGCAGAGTCCTGGCTGTGGATGTTCCCAGTGGCATGAAGCCCTTGGCCCCCAGCTCAGGATCTGTGGGGTGACACAGCAGCCACGCCGAGGGAGCCACCAGCCATGTCCAGGGATGTCCCCTCAGCTGACCCTGGAGAGCTGCAGAGTTGTAGCTGTTCACTAATTCTGGCTGGACAGATCCCACAAATCCCAGAAATGCCAGGGGTAATGCTCTTGTGGGTGCAAGCTGGATTATGACATCTCATTTCAGAGGAAATGTCTTGTGGCCAGACATTGGAAAAGAAACAAGACAGCAACCGCTGCTCAATTCCCCCTAACCTGGTGAAAGGTAGCTTGGGAAAATCCCCTCTTCTTTTACCTTGGAAAATCCCCACTTAGCAAAAAAACCTGTCAAAACAAAGGAAGAATTAAATCTCTGCTACCTCATGAGCCAGATGCAAAGGCCCTTCAAACTTGGTGAGGTACCTCAAAACTTTGTGAGAGAATGAGAAAAGGGAAGTGGATTCACAATATCTCAGAGCACCTTGCAGCCCCCAAACCCTCACAGCATTGCAATGTGTAGAGGCAGATGATCTGGGGCAGACTGGTGGTACAGAACTAGGACTTTTCTTCTAAAAAACTAGTGCTAAAAAAGCAGATTTAATTTATGAGATCCTTAAATTATCTTACAGCTTACCCCACCTCTAATTCACAGTCTTCTCTTCCATGTATGTTTGTGTCAGCTTATCAGTGCTCTGAAAATTGTCATGGCTTTGGGGACAGAGAGTAAAATACTTCAACAGGTGATATTTAATCCAGTCATCCCTTAAGCTTTCACTGTCTGACACAAATGCACAGTGTGGAAACTGTTCCTGTCTAACTGCTGGCGTATGGCTTCACCAAGGTATTTTGAAGCCCCGCATATTTAACGCTCTCAGGAGAGTCATCTTGAAATACACTTAGTTTTGTTCTAAGTGACACATTTCCTGGCACCTCTGACTGGTGCCCTGCCTGACACCCAGGGCTGGTTCCCTGCCTCTCAGACACTACTCTGGAGGGAGCACCTCTGGCCAACGTGGCGCTGGGGATGCTCCCACTGTCGTAGACAACGTTACAATACGTATAACACATACCCACTCTTGCAGCAGGCTCTTATCTCGACAGGCAATCGAGTTACCCACAGAGTGTGGAGACACATGAAAAGCAGCAGGTCTCCCTCTCTTTCAGATCCTGTAAGGAATCAAAGACATCTACAGTACAGTATTTTCCAAGCCCAGGCGGCTTGCTGAATTTATGCAATCTAGAGGAAAACACTGCACTTTTCAACTGTCTCAACCAAACCCAACAGTTCATGTAAACCAAAAGCTGCACTTCAGACAATGCCAGGACAGCTGGCAGCTCTGCCCCCGCCCTTCCTTCATCCCACCAAACTCTACTTTACCTGACACATGTCACGCACGGTGTCCACTTCGTGCTGTTTGAAGGGTTTTCCATGCTTGGGTCCATGTCGCCATGGGCAAAGGCCACCAGCCACCACATCATGGCAAAGAGCAGCCAGCTGCACAGGAAGGACATGGTAAAGATGACCAGTGTGTGACGCCACTTCAGGTCCACCAGGGTGGTGAAGATGTCCTGTAGGAATCGCCCCTGCTCACGGATGTTCTTGTGGGCCAGGTTGCAGGCGCCATTCTTGGCAATGAAGCGAGCTTTGCGCGGGCGATCACGGATGCGCGGCTTGCGCAGGTTCTCGGCAGCAATCCGCGCCAGCACATACTCTTCAGGGATGATACTCTTGCGAGCCAACATCTTCCTGCCACCATAGTCCACTCAGCAAGATGCAAAATGGAGGTGGTCCCTCTAGCAAGTATCTGCAGGGCTTGCTTTACCCTGCAAAAAAGAGTGAACCTGATTAGAATGGTCACCTGTGCAAGAAGCTGCGATACCCTCTGCCAAACCCTACTACATTAAATGCTGGCTCTACAGTGCCCTCTCTCTCAGGCCATCATTTTTATATGAGCAGCCGGCATCAGCTCGTAGCAGATATGAAAGATGCTATTTGGAAATTCCTTGCAGGAAGGGAGGCTGCAGAGCAGTCGGTGTAAAGTACCGTGACAGACACCAGCTCGGTTCCTCAGGCTGTTTCTCCGGGAGACAGCAGTGCTCAGATGGGGACCGGAACACGAAGCACTAAGTTATTCGGCATCCTTCAGGACCTGAAGAATCAGACGTCTGTGGTTTGAGCCGCAGTTTGCGGAGAGGCAAGGAGACTCCCTCCTTACGGCTGCAGCCCCGCAGCTCATCCAGCAGCCTGTTGGGAGCCCCTGCCTCGTCTCTCTAGATCATCACAAGAAGGAGCTGAGCTGGAAGTGCTGCAAGCAGGGAACGGGACTCCTCGGAGCAAGCGGTCGCATTTTCCCTCGCAGCTCTCCTTCCCTTCCGGGATCAAGCGGGGAAATCCTACCTTTATTCCCAAACTTTGTCCCCAAACGGGTGACAGAACAAACCCATGGAAAGCCCGATGGGCGGCTGGCCCGTCCCACCGGGGGAGGGCAGGGCTGCCTCACCCCTCAGGCCTCGCAGGGTCCCCTCCGCCCCCGCCGCCGCCGCCACTCACCGCCGAACGGGGCGGGACGCGGCCGGGCCGGACGGAGAGTGGGGGGGCCGGGCGGAGCGGGACTCGGGCTCGGGGGAATAAGCGGAGGGGCCGGGGCGGGGCTCGGACTGAGGATGCGGGACTCGGGGTGGGGATGCGGGGCCGGGGCGGAGCTCGGGCTCGAGATGCGGCGCCAGGGCTGTGCGGTGCCTGTGGACGATGGGTTGAGGGGGTTTTAGGCAGGTTCCAGCCCATTTAACAGCGGGACGAAGTGCTAACGCTGCTGGTCTGTGCTAGTTACACAAAGTTGCCCGCCTGCCTGCTTCCCCTGGCGAGCCAAGAGTTGCGCCTTCCTAACTTTATCTTCCCTCGAATCTGGCTGAGACAGAGGAAGCGAGGCTTGTGTGTAAGTGTTTTGGGGGCCAAAGCCAGAATCTCATAACCTTTGCAGTTTTGGATAAACTTAATTACCTGTCTCTGCAAGAAAGGAAGGAAAGACATTTCTTTTCACGGGTCTTGCTGAGCAGCATCAGGCCCGTTGTAAGGTTCATCTGGGAAATGAGCACTGGTAGATGAGGATTTGTATTTGAGATGGGTGTAGGAAGAATTATGTACAATGACAACCTCTCCTCCACCTTCCCAGTGAAATCCCTGAAGTTCTTTCTCTTTCCCACTGGTTGAGGTTAACAATTTTGGCCCTTGTGTTTAATGGAAACTTGCATTCTTGGAAATTGCAGCTTGGTGGGTTTTTTTTTTTTGTTTTGTTTTGTTTTTTGTTTTTTGTTTTGTTTTGTTTTGTTTTCTCCCTGAAGTCTTAGGGTTTGTAATGGGGAGAATAAACAGTACATCAAATTTATTAAAATATCTAAATTCAGATTTTAATGAAGGAAAGTGCAGCAATTGTGTCAGATTAACTCCCTTGTATCCAAGGAGTGTAAGAGAGACGGTGTCTATGTGCAGTAGGGAGGTTCCAAACTTTTCTGTATATCACTCAAGTGAATCATCTCTAGGGTATAAAATTTCTATAGAACAAAATGCCTCACTCCTCTTTGTAAGCTAGGGAAAAGCTTGATAGGCCTGGTGCAATCTGGAAGGTTTTGAGTATACTCAGGCTTGGAAAAACTGAGAAGGCACATTTGACAGGCAGTGTAATCCTCAGCTTGAAGATACCCACTCTGCTGAACACATGCACATGCTTAACTTTAAATAGATGAGTGGTTTCTGGAAACTTTTCCAGCACTGGCCTTTGCTAATACCACATACGCAGTAGCCAGAGGAGAGATAGACACAAAGCCCCAGTCATATTAGGCAATTAGCTAAATATTTATGCATGAAATTAACTTTAGGCAGATGGGAAGCTGAAAAATCAGGGTCTAAGTCACATGCCTTTAGATTCTAACCAGCCTCTGAGTACAAACACATAAAATCACTTGGAAAGCAATCTGCAGGGTCAGCATTGTTGGTGTGTGGCACTTCATGGGCCGGGCTTGGAGAACTTGGGAAATTATCCTTCTACAAATGAGGTGGCAGAGACAGGTCTAGAGGAGCTGACTCATTTGTTTCATACAGCCCCAAAAGTGCATCTTACTTTGATGTAACTATTGGAAATAACTGGTTTAATATCAGTTCCCTTTCCCTTTTTCCCTTTTCCTTAATCTCTTCCTCTGCCCTTCTCCCATTTAGCTCCTTGGTTAGTGAAGTATTTGTTCTGTTCTAGAGCTAGAAACATGATTGGTGTTCCCCAGTACAGCTGCTAGGTGCAACTCAAAAGATAACTGTCTGGGAACTGCATGGAACACTTCCCACACCTCACTTCTTCATGAAATCCTTGAATTGTATGACATTGCTTCTGAAACAAATTAGCTCATGCTACATGCCCAATTGCACAGTTTCCTCTGAAGTTCTTGAAATCCACAGCTTTATAATCGGGGACACAGAAACATCAAGAAATGTTTTATTTACTTGCCACTTCAGAGCATAAACCTGCATGTGTGGCTGCTTTCAGCCTCATCCCTTCTCACTCAGCCCCTCAAGCTGCTGCTGTGCTCCCCACCCCATCTCTGTTGGTAGTGAGTGCAACTGTGTGACATATAGTTAGTGTGTGGATTAGCAGCTAGTTTGGAAAAATGGATCAAGCCCATCTTTAAGGGCAGGTGGGAGCAAGGAGCAACATTCTTTGAGCTACTCAAGTGGAACAGAAACTGCTGCCAGCACTGGCACTGTCAGGAGTTCCCTGTGAGCTCTCAGGCCCACATGTTCCCCACTAACCTGCTTGAGGTTTCCTCCCCCTTAACTTGGCACCATGCAGAGGCTGAAATTCTTGTAGCTGAGATAGGAGAAGATCCATCAAACACGCACAAATAGTCCTGGCACAGCCCAAGTGTGGCTGAACAAAAGTTACTGATCCTTTCACCCACCATCACATGTTGCAGGAAAAGTGCTCACAAGATCCCATCTTTTCCTCTCTGCCTGTTTGATACTGAAAGAGATGCCTTCCTCCTCACTTCTACTGGAGATGAGTTTTGAGGAAGCCTGCTGGGCCATGATTACAGGGATGTGAGGATCAGGAGCTCCAGCCATGATTCTGAGCACAGCGTGCATTTTTCCAAGTTCCAGTCTATGAATATACTCTGGAGAGTGACAGCTACTAAAACCCTTGCCCTCTGACCTTTTAAATTCTTGCTTGGTTGCCACATGCACACTTGAGTCTGAGATTTAAGTAGTAGCTGGGAAAATCTCCTAAAACATCTCCTAACCCATTTGGTAAGGAACAGAGTGTCTGAGTGTTGTGAACACAGCCTTTTCAGGAAAAAAATGATCAGAATTGATGGCAGTTTTACGTCCAGTTTTCTTACGGCCCTTCTTGCTGTTTCATTCCCCTCCGCCCACAAGCATTACTGATATTATGGTAAATATCACTTTACAATTATGCCTATCTAAAAATCAGGATTAAATAATGCGCTTTGACATGAATCTGAAATTTCCATATTATAGCCCTGTCCAGCCCTTTCAGAAAATCCTGCTTTGTAATAAGTTTTGTTTGAAATTCTAATCTTAACTTAGAGATAGGATGACTTTACAGGCGTCCAGAGATGTCATGCACTTAAAGCGAGGCTTCCACAGAGACACAAAGCTGATAAGGCATATTCGGATAGCCTGGGTGATCTCTTCCTTACATGAGCTGGCAGGACATCCATCAAACATGAAAGAACAGAAACTGCAAACTAAGGGCATCTGTTACCCTCAACCAGCTCTTTCCCCACCCTGCTCCCCCGCAGTTTTATGAAAGAGCAGCAGGACAAAAATTGTTTTTATCATCAAAATACATGTAACTAGTGCCCCTTGTCCAGTGTAAGTTGCATAGTGACGTTTGTTGTTCATTACGTGCCTTTTCCTGGAGTTTATCCTAAGGCTCTGGGAAGAGCAACCCCAGTTTGGGACTGTTTCCTTGCCTCCCCATGCCATAATTTATGGGAAGGCTGTAAACCAGTTTCTAAGTGGGTTGAACATGGTTCCAGTGAGTCTCTAGCTGTGTTCCTAGAGTGTGGTGTCCCTTAGGTGCTTCCCCTCCCTGGCTCGCTGGCTGTTCCAGGGTTAAATTAAGATTATGCCAGTGACAGAAGAGAGATGCCATGTCTCACATTCATATCTTATCACACAATATCTGACAACTCCAAGCCCTCAAATCTCAGATGCTCTGGTGGGACCTGAAGAAATAGATGGACCCAAATCTGAATGATTCAGCCATGAAAATCTGCAGTACTCAGAGATTCTTAGGCTCCCACCTTCATGCCTCTGATGGAGAAGTCATGTTGTTGAAAGAGTAAGGGCCTAATGTAGCTGGTAGAATAAAAACACATGTAGCCATTAAATATGGAAGAATATGCTGCCTTGGGGCATCTGTAGCTGTGCTCTTGAAGGGTGGAGGTTCTGGACCATGTCATTTACACGGAGCTGCATTAGTTCCTTAGTTACATGGTTAAATATTTTACTGCACATTGAAGTGATATTTATGGATATAGCCTGAAAATCCTGAAATAAATTAAAGGGAGAGTTAAGAAATATCATGGTAATAGCTATGAGGAACTCTTCTGGGCAGTCCTAGCTGGGACTCTTCATTATTTACTTATACCTTTAAACCAGAGGTTGTATAACCATGTAATGTATTTATGTATAAAGCAGACTAATATGCATACATGGGAATGAATTGCAGTGGCCACTGAAATATGCAGTGTCCTGGATGCTCTATTGTTATATAACAGATCATGGGATGAAAATCCCCATGTTCCATGGAAGTGAAAGGAGGCATCTTGCACATGATGAATGACAATTACACCTAATAGAAACCAATTAAAATTATATTTTAAATAACTGCTTGTTTATAGTGTTCCGAATGTGGTATATTATATTAGAGAAATGAGTAGTGCCTGCCAGCAGTATCTGTTCTGTTTCCATGGATAGTATCTATCAGTAGACACATGCTATCAATAGTGAATAATTAATAGTAACTGTAGTAAAAAGATTTTCTAAAAGTCTCTCTTCTCTTGACAGACTACACTTGGATGTTCTTGGCTTCATTCAAGACAATGCTTTAATACTGTGCTGCCAAAACAAAACAGCATCAGCAAGTTGCTAATTTGTACGAGTCAGCAAACTTCTGCCTCACAACAATTTTTTCATCATTTGAATACCTGATAGTCTTTCCCCACAGTTCTGCAGAGAGGTCAGTTCTAGTGGAGAAAAAACAGGGCAGTAAAAAAACAGTGTGGAAATGATTGGGATATTTGCATGGCCACAAATAATTTGATTTACAGTTTTGTTTTCAGACTTTTCTTAGTAGTCTCTTAGTTTTGCCTCTGAAAGAATTTAGTTTCCAAAGAAACTGAGGAGTTCTTCACATGCCACTATGGAATTCATATCAGAGACTTTACATAACATATTTTGATTTTAAATAAGGCTTTCAGAAGATGCTACTTGAGGATGCAAATATGCTGAGTTAATTGTTGCTTTTAATCACATTTAGAGGGAGAATTCATTGCTCCAAAGAGGTTTTTACAAGTGTCACTGT